GAGCCGCGGGGCTGCCTCCCCTGGGGCGGTGCAATGTGCTGCGAGAAGTGGAGCCACGTGGCCGAAATGCTGCTCTTCCCTGAAGACCCGCGGGAGGATTCGGCGATCCTGTGCCTCTGCTCCAGGGCGTTCGTGGAGTGAGTGAGCGCCCTGCGCTGCCCGTGCGCGACTTCTCCCCGAAGCGTGGGCGGTGCGGGCTGGTGGTGAGGGGCCCCCGCCCCCGCGGCCGCAGCGCCGGCCCCCGCGGCAGGGCGATGTTTGAGAAGAGGGGCGGGAGGGCCTCGGGCTCGCGGCGCGCCGGCCTCTGCGTTAGGTGCGCGAGTGCGTCCACCCTGTAGGCTGTCGTGAAGAGATGCGGTAGCTGGTAGATGTCGTTTTATATTCATACGTTGAGGGGAAATTTTAAAGTTTGGGGAAAGTGAAATGTACAAGGGAATGTGGCTACTGGATAGGACATCCCAGGGCAAAGGTCTAAAGATGAGTAACTTGTTTTGATTAACGTCTTTTTTTAAAACCTTAAGATTTATTTAAACACCAGTTCCCATAAATAGAACTTGCGAGGTACAAGATTTAACGATAATTGCATCCGTTTTTTGAACTGCCTTTTATTTTTGGGAAATGTTTGTTTGGGGTAGAAACTGCCATGCCTGTGAGGTAGCTGGCGGGCGCAGGGGAAGTGCCGAAGGAATGGGATTCTCGAGGTGGTGCTCTTCATGTTAGATGTGGGAGCTCATCTCTGCACCACATCTCACAGGCTTATTGCCAGAGTCAACTTGTGGGAGTGGGTTTTATGTGAGAGACTTTTAATACAGTTTCATGTAGTGGAGTTTCAGTTTGAAGGAGTTCTTACCATTCATCATGTGTCTTTGTGGAGTACTCTGAAAATTAATCAGGAAAGAAATGGAAAACGATGTTAAATACGCAGTGGAAAGTATCGTTTTTGTATTCATGTATGCATATATTCATTCAAGGAATGCGATTTGTGCTCCTTTGTATTAGGTGCTGGTAGGCACTGGGGTACAAGACACAGCCCGTCCCTACACATTTTGAGTTTGCTTACTGGCAAAGGAGATCAGTATTAAGACAACTGTTACATAATTATGTGGTGAAAGTTGTAAGTGCCATGGGAGAGAAGTACAACCTTCAGAGATAGCAGATTCAGGCAGGAACGGGGCACTGCTACCTCTGAAGGTTGCCAAAGAATAATTCTTTCTCTCCCTCATCCCTTCTACGTTTATTAGTTAGCATTCTGTATGGAGCACTTTCCTTTCTCTCCTCATGTATTTTTTTACTCTTTTATTTATATTAACATGGACTCTGGATTATTAATCTCCTAATAGGTTATATTCTGTTACTATCATTATTGTCTCAGATTTGGCTGGTGGGGGCCCCTGGTGATGGTTCCTGTATCCTTTTGATGTGTCCCTGGCATTTTTTGAGCTCCTCCTAATCTGGCACAATAAGATGACTCAGGCATATCTTTTAGTCCATGCTCCAACTTGGAATTGCCATTTCTCTCTGATACCCTGGTTCCTTTTAGTAGAGAATGGTATTTAGAAACTAAGACCCAGTTGCTCATTGTGCCATTGCTCCTGGGTTCAATGCTTCCGTGCCCTCTCAGCAGGGTTAGGCAGTAGGTACCGTAAGTCCTCACTTAATGTTGATAGGTTCTATATAAGGGAAACAACATACAATGAAACCAGTTTTCCCCTAAGCTAGTTGATATAAACAAGACTTAAGTTCCTATGACATTCCCATCAATATAATGAAATGACTTTGGATGTTATTGGGGGACCTGATGTATACATACAAATATGCATACATAAATGTTTGTGTAGGAGAATATTGGCTATCATTATTCTTAACACGTTTACCTATTCCCTCAGTGTAACCATCTTGGCCCTCCCTCTGCTGGACACTTTGGTGCCCCATATCCTTGGGTGCTGGTGAGCACACCATTGGTGCCCTCTTTATCGCTGCCATTCCACCCACCCTGCCAGTGTCCCATGTTCTTGGGAACCAGTGGGCATGCTACCGAAGCACATTTGCACTTCATTCCTTCCCCTCTGTTCACTGTTTCACTGTGAGTCAATACCTGTTTTATGTTTTTAAAAGTACCAAAAAATAAACAGGAGAAGCTGGTATGGTTCAGTGGCTAGAGTGTTGGCCTGCTCACCAAAGGGCCACGGGTTTGATTCCCAGTCAAGGGCACGTACCTGGGTTGCAGGTTGGATCCCTGGCCCCTGTCCAGGTGTGTGCAGGAGGCGACCAATCAATCTCTTTCTTTTTTCCCTCCCTTCCACTGTCTCTAAAAATCATTGGAAAAAATATCCTCAGGTGAGGATTAACAAATAATAATAATAATTAGTAGTTATAATTATAAATGCTTTCCATGGGGTGTATACTAAATATTTTACAGATACTGTCAATCCTTATAAACAACCTCATGAGATATGTATTATTTCTGTATTACAAATGATGAAAATGTATTAGCAGATTGTTTTTCTGTTCCTTAACCCTTTTATTAATTACTCTATGCCACCTTGAACTTATTTTTTCTCTAAATTTATAACTTAATTTTTTCTGTTAATTAAAAATATTGTTAATTAAACAATATTGACTGTTTGATTTACTTTACAGAGATCGAAAATTGTGCAATTTGGGATTAAAAGGCTACTATGTTAAAGGCAATGGCAACAATGCAGGTAATACAGTATAAATTATATAACCCTTTTTTGCTAAAATTAACCATAATACTTTATTAATTATAATTCATTATAATACTGTATTAATTTCTTAGCATAAAATATTATGTGGCAAATAAATTCTGTAATCATAGACACTCCTTATTTTTTTATTATAGCATGGTTCTAGAATCCCTATCAAAGCAGAAACTTTCTTTTCTGATAGCAGGCTCCTATATGGACTTGAGGTAGCCTCTTTTGTCCTGTGTAGCATTCCTTCCTGAGTTGTCACCGTTAGATAAAAGCAACCTGAAATTTGAGACTGAAAAGTAGAGAACATAGTTTCTAAAGCAAAATTTTATTGTGTTAAAAGGTAAACCGAGGCACATTAAACTTGCCCAGCTACCTGAAAACTTGGTCTCTCTCACATTTCCCTGTCTGGACCCCATTTGTTCTTTCCACACAGATCTTTTATGTTTCTTTAGACTCCGGGAAAACTGCAGCATAAGTTAAGGCTCAACCCAGCACATGTAGTCTGTCATATTACACTTGAAAATCATTTATCATTCACAATGGTTGAACAAATCACTGTTCCTTTAGTTGTGCACTGGATGAAATGTTTGTTTTTCAGTGTTATGTAGTACAAATAAGATTCCTTTAGACAATAGACTCCCACCAAACATAAAATATGCACACCATGAGAGGAACATAAAGCTTAGTTGATTCATTTTTCCTATTTTGCTCTCTCCTGAGCTTTCATAAGTTCATTGAATGGAATGGTGAATGGAATCCCCTTTATTATTAAATAGATAATCTGTTTTTTCTTTTAGTAGAATTTGCACACATAAGATTTCTCTTTTTTTCAGAATTCATTTTTTTCTATGTAAGATTCACTGTTCTGTTGTCTAAGATCATTTAGCTGGAGTGTAGTTCAGCTCTAATTGAGTATGCTAATATATAAAGTGATTTTAATCTCACATTTAAACAGTTACTAGAGCATTTGAATGACATTTGTACGATTAGTGGTATGATCTACTTACATAACCATATTAGGATAAAGTAAAACTTGTTCTGTTATAATAAAACAGGTTCTCTTTAAGAACTAGAATTTGGGCACTTGAAAGGATCTTCCAGTTCAGTGGATTTCAGACTTTTAATAGCAGAACCCCTTTATTAAATCAACTCTCCCATAGAGTTCCAGTTGTGATTGAAGTACCTGTGAGGGGCCTCACTTCCCTTATTAACAGTTCCTAAAATAACCGTCATCTTAAATCCACTGATGTAGTGCAGTAATATTGCAGATAAGGAATACGAACATGTAAACATTTGCCTTATGGTTGTTCTACTGTGATCCTTCTTACATCCTCAGTACTTTGCACAATGCCCAGCACAGAAGAGATGCTCAGTAAGTGTAAGTTGAATGGGCAGCTAGATGGATAGTGGCAGGCAGAGCCAGACTAGAAACTGCCACTTGATTCTTAGTTGGCCGTTTTTTACTAGTCTATATTACCATCAGTTCCCTTTTTTTCCTTTTTTAATTTTTCTCCTTAAAATTGTAACATTTATACACCTTTGGACAAGACATATAACAACTCTGGGTCTCAGGTGTTCTTCATTAAAATGATGATGAAACCTGCATCTAAATTTTTTCTAAAATTAAGCTAACAAATGCTATCTTTAGGAGACCAAGCTACAGAAGAAGAGGAAGGTGGTAATTCCCATGACAATCAGGAATCATGTGATAGCAAAGGCATAGGCCTAGATGAAAGTGAACTTGATTCTGAGACTGAACTCATGAGAAGTATGGGACTGCCACTTCAATTTGGTGGGATGTCTGCACATAAGAATTTTGAGGTAAGTATTAATTTACTTTTATTACTTCCATGTGTTAGTTTTCTTTGTAAAATCATATGAGTTTTTTTTAAATCCCAAATCTAATGCATTTATTAGTTAGAACACTCCACCTCTTTTTTAATATACATATTTATAAATTAACCAAAACTGTAAGTTGTGATGTATCCCACGTGTGATTTTTTTTCTTCTCTTGGAAACTTAGGTAGTAAGATTCACTTTTTTGTGTAACTAAAAGCCCAGGGTAGTGGGGGTGGGGGAACTGAGGGTATTTTGTTTAATTTAATGTCAAAATAGACTTAGATTCTACTTTCTCTTTTAGCTTATGAAGTGGATTTTATATTCAAGTTACTTATTTTATGCAGGTGTCTATGAATACTAGAAATAAAGTTAAAATAAAAAAGAAAAAGAAAAAACATCAAAAGAAGTACTTAGATGAAATTATGAAAGAAACTTGGAGACAAGAATATGAAGAAGATGACCTTTTGGCTTCAGATGATCCGTCCTCAGTTGAACAATGTGAGAACACCAGAACGCATAAACTTCAATCTGAAAAAGACGTTGAAACTGAAAACCTGTCTGTTGAAAATACTTTATCTTCAAAGCTAGAAGTTACAGAGAAATGGGAAAAGTACTGGAGTGAATATGGTGGGAGACTGTTATGGCAAAGCTGGGAAGAAAAACATTCAGGTCAAACACTGTGCCCTGAACCTTGGAATGCTCCTGATACCAAGGAAGAATGGGAACAACATTACAGTCAACTTTATTGGTATTATTTGGAACAATTTCAGTATTGGGAAGCTCAGGGTTGGACTTTTGATGCCTCACAAAGCTGTGATACAAGTGTGTGTGGGTCTAAAACAGAAGTTGACAATGAGAAAGATGAAAATTGCATGAAAGCAGACTTACTTTCTTTTCCACACTCATCAGTTGCCAGCAAAAGCTCTAGTTCAAGTGATAAAGAACATAATGAACTACTTGATGGAATTAGTAATATAAGTCTGAATTCAGGGAAAGTAGAAGAGAGCCAGTTAGAGTCACCTGTAAGTTCTGATGGACATCAGTGGCCGAATGAAGTTAACAACAGAAGAGAATGCCCTGCTTCTGGCCAAAGTGAACCATGTAATGGAGGAACCAAGGAAAGCAACTTGTCTGGAAATGGAAGTGCAAACCAACCAGCTCAGGGTAAGACTGACCAAGATTTATCCTACTAAGTAACGGTTAACTAAGTGAATCTATTTAGCAAAATAACTAATGGTAATCCTTTATGGTAGAGTTAAATAGTGCCAACTACATTTTATAGTGTAATAAAATTATTCAGTCCGTCTTATTATTATATCACAAGTTGTTTATTACCCTTTTATATAAATAAAGAAGAATGTTTGCACAGAGTTCTCAAAAGTATCATTCCTTCCTCTTGTACCTTGGTGGCCAGTGAGTTAAAACTTGGAAATCGCTTTCTAATTAAATTAGAACTCTAATTTAGAATGAGCTTGGAATGTTCAAATTACTCTAGAACAAATGAGTTTATAGAAGGTGTGTTAAAGAGTGGTTGAGAGCACGTGCTTGATGTTAGGCAGATCTGAATGAGACTCATATCTGGAATTCAATTGGGACAAGTGAAGTCTTGCTATAAAGAGAATCTAAACAGGGCATGATATTCATTTATAACTAGAAAAGTTGATTTCAGGATTCTCATAAAAAATCCAGGATAAGGAACTTGGTTGACTCCCACCTAAGTGATTTAAAAAAAAATTATTATCATGCAGACTGGTGCCACTGTGAGGACTAAAGAAAGCCAGAAAGAAGTGTGTTAAGAACAGTTGAGAGGAGGGTGGGTAAGAGTGCTCTTGCTAGGAAGAAGGGTACTACCAACTGATGGCACCAGGAAAGTGAGAGAGGAGGGAATTTTTGTATCTTTGGGGTTGTCTTAGCATTCTTGATGTTGAGTTCATGAAGTCTGGCTCATGGGGACTTTCTTCCCACCCTCGTTCCTATACACCTGCTTTACATTAGTCTTTGATATTCTTCAGTACTCCCCGAATTATTTTCTGTAACTTCTTTTGACAATAAAACTTGGACTATACCTCGTGGTCACCGTGACGGCCCCTGTTTTACTCTGCGTGTTACTCCCTTTGATTTCTGCCTACTTCTTTTCCTTTGTCAAACCTCGTGAACCTCACAGTTTCTGCCTTCTCTTGCCTGCTTGCAAAGCTGTGTGTATAAATTGACCATTTCTATTGCCTGTTCTCTTATGTATAGAATTGCCCATTTCTGTAATAAGCCCCATCCAGTGTGACTGCCATCAGGACCGATTTAAGAATTCTACATTTTTGTTTGTTTGAGGTATTCCCTTGCGATCAAAACATAAAGTGTACAGGGTAGGGCAAAAGCAGGTGAGTGTGTTTTCTACTGTTTGTGGTCGGGTGTTCTCCTGAAATAGTCTGTCCCCACACATTTAAAGCTTCCAGTGTCTACGTTGCAGACACCTCTCCACTTCTAGTCTCACCCACCTACTTTGTTCCAGTCTGAAGACATAGAGAACAAGGATAGACATGTACCTCAGTTGGAGCCACAAGTTAAAAATATATTTTTTAAATGGTGTTTATCTTGGTTACTTCCATTATTACTCTAACAACTATGTTAGAAACAATTCAATGTATTTACTTCTTAATAGAGAACTTTTTAATCAATGTCATCATGCCATGTGTAGAGCCATTTAGATTAAAATTTCATCGAAATGTGATTCCTAACAGTTATGACAAAGGTAACTTTGTAGATCAATTTGTGTAGAGTTGGGCAGCTATCAGGATAAAGTAGTTTGAGTTCACTTTTTAAGTAGCTAAATCATGGAAACGTAAACGTTAATAGACATAGCTCCTTTTTTCTTTTCTTTTTTATGTTCAAACCCTGCATGTAGGTACACAGAATAGGTAGATGTGGTCTGGCACTTTGTCTATGTACATGTATATAGTTCATTGTAGGAAAGACACTGAAGTATTTTGATTGCCTTTTTAAATGGGAGGAGAGTTGTCAAACCAAGGGGAGAAATCCACAGTAATATCTTCCTCTGTAGATTCACAGGAGTCATCAGAAGCAAACACAATCAAAGAAAGACTGCATCCCAGCAAGATTGACGGAGATGAGAGTGAAGAAGATCCGCCGGAACATAAGCCAAGCAAACTCAAGAGGAGGCAAGTTGCACGTTCTCTCTCCAAAATGTGTTAGCATAAGCACTCTGCCCGCGAGTGAGTAGTTATCAAATGCTTCTTACGTTGTGGCACTGTGAGGAAGAGAGACAAGGCCCTGGGCTTTGGAGCATGGGCAAATCCCAGTTCTGCCTCTTTATTCTGCCACAATTTCTTATCTGTAAAATAGAACTGATGCCTCCTTGTGAAATTATTGGAAAGACTGGAACTAGCATATAATATATCTGAGACTTAGTAGCTATCAATGAATGGTAGCTATCAACTAGTAATATATAAGTAGGTACAGTCTGTCTTTTTCGAGGAAGTTCTAATTTTTTTCTCAAAAGTCGGGGAATAATTATAGGATTTTATTGCTAAAATGCACCTCAGACACATCAGATCTAATGCTCTCATTCTATCGATAGGATACTAAGACAAAAAAGGATAAATACTTTGCCCGGTTATATAGCAGTCATGGCAGCTTTAAAGCTAGCGCCCAGTCCAACTCTTACCTCCCAGTACTTTCTAATGTAGCACTAATACATGTAATTAAACAAGATGAGAGTAATGTCAGGTAAAATACAGTCAGATGCTAATGCTGCAAAATATAAGAAAAGGGTGGACATCACAGAATTTGGACATTAGCTGGACACATTTCATTTCTATAACAGGACATGAAGTGTTCCACATAAGACTTTTATGTTTCGTGCAGCTTCTAGAAAAACAGTAAGCAAGTCCAGCTGGTGTGGCTCAGTGGTTGAGCATCAACCCACGGACCAAGGGGTCACCAGATTGATTCCCTATCAGGACATATGCCCAGGTTCCGGTCTCGATCCCCAGTCAGGGGTGAGCAGGAGGCAGCCGATCAGTTTTTCTCTCTCATCTATGTTTCTATCCTTCACCTTACCTTTCTCTCTAAAAAAAAAAATCAATGAAAAAGACTGTTTTAAAAAAAGAAAGAAAAACAGAAAGCAAGCTTTAGAGGCTCAGCAACTTAGTGCATAAAAGCACATCTCTCCTGTGTTCCTTCTACATGGTGTACATTGCACGTTAATTCCTCCATTAGTTCTTGCTGGTTCCTGGAGGCAGACTGTGTGTGTACTTATATTCCTGGAACCTAGTAGGTTCCTCCATAAATGTTCAGTGAGCATAATTTCATTTGTAAGAATAATCTCACCATTTCCATTTACCCATTATGGTTGCCCAAGTAGTAGGGAGCATTAGAAGTTTCCCAATAGATGGATGATACTGAGTTATTTAGTATCTTTTGTATCACAATCTTATTCTTAACAATATTTCTTCTTTTGTAATTTTTTTGGTTGGGTTGATATTTTTCAAATGTTGCCTTGTTTTTCAGAAAAACCTCTGGAGATACCACTCTAGGAGATTAGTTTAAGACTGGTATTTTTTCAAAGGAAAATGGAGAGATCCATAATTGTATTGTGTTCAGGAATAGAGATAATTGCTTGACAGGGTTTAAGATTTGAGTGTTTATTTCTGTGGCCCAAATACTACTTGGTACTTTATCTCATTTGGAAAATCCTGATTAAAGTACTACTTTTCCTGTCTTCCTGGGTTTGAACTATGGTTGATTGTTGTGATGGGAAAGTTTGCTTATATGTACTTTAATATTTGCCTGAATGAATGGGCTCTGGAGGTAGTGGCTTATCACCTTTTTTTTTTTTTTTAAGCCATGAATTGGACATCGATGAAAATCCAGATTCAGACTTTGATGACAATGGCTCCCTTCTAGGATTCAACCATGGCTCTGGGCAAAAGTAAGTATACATAAATGCTGTTGTCTTTAAATCTTAACCACTTTAGCTATCTTAAAGCTCTCTGCTATTCAAATAGCTAATAATGGGTGTGTATTTTATAGCATTTGAGATGTTGCAGTTAAAACGCTAGCCTCTCTTGTTAGTAAGAATTACAGAGTTGTCACCATACATTTCATGTGTTCACATGTGTTAGCTCAGTTGCACTTCATAGCAATCCAGTGTTGTTATTCTGCTTTATAAGTAAAGCAGCCGCAGCTTACAGGTTTTGACTTAGGCACAATCACATCATTTCCTGGAGAGAATGGGTTCCAGCCCAGCTCTTGAGACTCTAAGCATGGCTCCATCTTGACCTAGTGTCTCCCGTAACTGTACATTTGGAGTGTGTAGCAAACATGCCATAAAAAGTTCCAATCGGTAGTAACCATTTTTCTTTTTTACTGTGAAAGTAGTAAAACTCAACCAAAACAGAAGTAACAAGAGTGAAAATCTTTTCTTCAAATCATTCCCCAGAGATAAACAATATTTGGCATAAATCTTTCCTAATTTTTCATGTCTTTTTTTAGGACTGTATATATACACACATTACTCCCTTTTTATAAAGCACAAAAAATCATACTATACCTAGTCTGCAGCTTGCTGTTTTCCCGAAACAGTGTACCATCAACAGTATATTCACCTGATCCTTTCATGGGATCCTGTGTTTGATTGGTCATCCTGCAGGAATAGCAGGTTGTTTCCTAAGATCTAAGCTTATGTTTTCAGGTGAGTATATTCACCTGATCCTTTCATGGGATCCTGTGTTTGATTGGTCATCCTGCAGGAATAGCAGGTTGTTTCCTAAGATCTAAGCTTATGTTTTTGAAGTACCCCCAGGTTGTAGCATATACTTATAGTTCATTCCTTCCTATTGCTGAATAGTATGCCGCTGTATGATGTGCCAAAGTTTGTTCAACTATTATCTAATGAAAGACATTTGAATTACATGGGGCATTTTGCTATTACAAATAAAGCTGCTGTGAACTTCTGTGTACAGAAAGTATTAGTGTTCTCTGGGATTAAATGCCAAGCATTAAATATAAGGAAACTGAAGAGCTTATTACCTATGGCATGGAGACTGAACTGAGCAGTGTAGCTAAGGCCTACTAAAGACCTACCATTTATGTCGTCTTGCACCAGCTACTTAAACCAAGATGTTTGGTCTTTGATGTTTCTAAGTGTTGAGATGTACTTTGTTAGTTGTGAAATTTTAACGGATTCCTAACATTATGAAGTTGGCAAGAAAAGGGTGTAGGTTGACATGAGTTGAATCCAAATTAGTTCAGAAATACATGTTCATAATTATAATACTGTGAATATTTTTTAGACGACTATCTGTTTTCTCTCCCTTATGATACTTCAAGGCAATTGTAGTTCATATAATAATTTAAGGCCAAAGATTAAGAATATAAAGAGTTTCCCTGATACTGTCATGGTTAAATTCCTGGCAGAATTTGTTTTTAACCACATATAATTTTATTGAGAAATTACTTGGGTGGCTCTTGCTAGTGTACACTCATAAAAGTTTATTCTGTTGCCTGGGGTTTAATTATTTCTTTTCTATTTAGAGCACCGAATTCTACCTAAAAGGAAGGACAGAGTAGACTTTTTACAAAGAATATTTAGTACAGCTAGAAGATAATACCTGACAGGAGTTTATAAATGCTAAATTGTATATTACACTCTAACTGTCTAATAGTCTGTAGGAGAGGCAGTTAATGAGACTTGAATTCGAACATATCCAGATATGGGTTAAAGAACTTTGGCATCACCTCATCGTGAGAAAAAATTCTATTTCTCCAATTGCAATGGGTTTATATTTTCCTGCTATTTCTTTATTTTATTATATTATGTAAGTTCTGCTTTCTGCTCTGTATATGTTGATATTTCCAACTTTGGTGTTTCACATTTACTTGGGAATTAACATACAAGCTGGACCTTAAACTGCATTTGAAACTTTATTTCATAATTTCATAATTTAGAACAATGAAATTACAATGGTGGCTGCTAATAGAAAAATAGTGAAAATTGTAAGTTTTGTTTTCATAAATAAACAGACTCCTAGAACTTAAGATTTGAGTCAGCTTTTTTTGATTTGGTCACAGATACGGTGGAATTTCACATTTCAGTCAGAGACGGGTCAGGTATCTGCAGAAGAATGTGAAGTATAAGTCCAAGTTCTTGGACATGAGAAGACAAATAAATTTGAAAAATAAACACATTTTCTTTACTGAAGACACAGAAAAAACATGTTTTAAGAAAAGCAAAGCTTTGAGTAAGGTATGTATAAATTTTGTTTTTTATTTACAGGTAGAATTTTATTTTGTGAGGTTGGCTCCTTAAAGTTCTTGTTTTCAAATAGGAACCCTGTTTCTACCAGATATAAGGGCACCTGAGATTCTCTTCTACTTGTTTTCTAAAGGCATATATTGTGTGAACTAAATTTGAAAAAGATTGAGTTGGGGAAAATATGAAAAGGGGATGTTTTGAGAGCTACAAAGTAGTAGAGTCTGGGAAGATAAATGGATAAAATTGCCTTGTGAATGTAGTAACAGACAGTGGAAATTGCTCATCTGTTTTAAGTAGGATCTGGGAAGTCCAATGTCTGATACAACTTTTATTGTAATCCTTAATTTTGAGGTCATCTAAAGGGGATCGATTAAACTTTGCAGGCTAATTTGGTGATTGATATTGTTAACCAGAATCTTCATATCCCAGTAATTTGGTGATTCACATTGTTAACTAGAATATTCATATCCCATCTCTTGGACTTTGCTGTACTTGTCATCTAACTACCTGGAAAACAAAAGTAATTAAAATTGCTTTTCTTGGTTTTGATGAGTGATTCTTTTTCCTTTATTAAAAAAAAAAAAAAAAGTACCTTTTCGTGAGCAGAACCTTGTATCAGCCACATCTCCAACAGCTCTTTTAAGGCAACAGAACAAAATCTCAGACCCCATAGTGACTTTGCTTCTTCCCTAATGTACGTTACCCTTCTTAACTTCAGTATTCTTCCAAAACATACTACAAATTTAAGTTGGTTTTATTTTTATTGTATTTCAGATTGTTTGGCTTCTGGTGATATTTTAATATTTTAGTGACCCTTGTTATGTCTGGAACAGATTTCCAGTATCAGTTCAGTCAGTCCTATAGGACATTTCATAATGTGTTAAACTGTTAGATGTGATAGTCCCCATATATTCATATGTAGGTGAAGAACAGAAACATAACTGCTAAGTATTACTGAGTGTGGTGGTGTGTGTTGGGGGGATGGCTCTTGTGTCCTCAGATATCTGATTGATATATAGGCAAAGTACCCTCGAAGGAAGATTCTGGGTTGTTGTCGATGCCCATCTTCTGTCTGTCACTCTTGTTCTAATTTCCCAACTCTTAGGAAGATCAGGAAGAATATTTTTGTTACAGAAAATAGCAAGAAAGTATATGTCATCTGACCTTGAGCCATCTTAACATTTCATAGAAGAAAACTAGTTTACAGGAATCATTTTACTGACTCTACTGCTTCATTAAAAGGCAGCTCGTGTTCTTTCCAAGATAGCACCGCCTTTATTCTTATAGAAAGATTGGCACAAAATTTTTTTAGAGTTCATCTTTGGTGCTGAGTACCATTTAAGATAGATAATAGCCTGGGCCTTGCAGAAAAACTAAAATTAATGACTCAGCAACAGGTTGGTACATTTGTAATGGTAATATCACATAGTACAGTTACATTGTTAGAAGCGTTTGTGGGAAGTTACTAGAGAAGTTCAACTTTATCCTCTTAGTGTTAATTGATGACAGGTATCCTTAGTCTTGAGTGTAATCTGATATTTTCTTCCTTTTAAAGAAGTCTTTAATAAGGTCGTGCATGGTATGTCCAGACAGGAAAGTGCAATTAGCTTGGAATTACATTAGCTTATATGATAACAGGGTACTTATCAAAGCTAATGATTGTGATGCAGCTTGTCAGTCAGGTCACAAAAGGTAAAGCAGGTAAAAATATTCTGTGTAATTGGAACTGCTTCATGCCCGTAACATCTTACAATTTCAGGTAGAAAAATTTCTAAAATGGGTTAACGAACCAATGGATGAAGAGACATCCCAGGAGTCAGTTTCTCACGATGATGTGCAGGATAGTTGCACAAGCAGTGAGTCAGAAGAACAGGGAATGTCTGTTACCAAAGGGGATAAGCCGCTGGAGATGAGCAATCCCGAACCTGAAGAGGGCCATGCCACATCCGCAGCTGGTGAACTCGAAACAGAAAAAAACCAAGGAGACAGCACCGTAGCAGCTCTTATAGATGAGGGTTGTGTCGCTCAGGGTGTACCAGGCTTTCTTCAGGCAGAAGCTGATGGTAAGTCTAATATGCTTCAACTTGTTAGTAGATTTAGATAAATACATTTTTTTAATGTTTTTCCCTAGTTTTCACTTAGGAGTCATCTATACTTGATTCACTGCTAATTATTTTTAAGTTGAGAGAAGCCATGGTAAGTAAATGTGTTGGCACCCGGAGTGCACTTCCCTCTTGGCTGAACAAGCGTGATAAAATCACAGGTAAAGCATGTGGCAAAACTGCTTTGGAGTACCTCTGTCTTTGCCACTAAGATTGCCTTCTGACACTCACTCTGTCCCATGGGCTGACAGTGGCCGGACTGTTTTAACCCTGTTGAGATTTAGTGTTGCCCTGGTTTTCATTTTGATCATTCTTTTTTTATTTTGTAGTGGTTGTGGGCGGTGGCAGTTTGTTTTTGGATGGTACATTGACATAAAGTATTTACAGTAGTTAGCTATAATGAGTGGAGAACAGAGTAGCATTTTCACTTTATGCTCTTTTGTGCTATTTGAATTTATTTTAAGCAAATGTTCTTTTATAATTTAAAAAATAATAATTATATTCCATAGCAGCTATTGCGGATAAGGAGGATTGTGTTGTTGAGGATGTACCAGACTCTCTTCAGGTGGAAACTGAAGGTAAGACTATATGCTTCAACTTTCTAGTAGATTTAGATTAATACTTTTTTTTTTTAATGTTTTTCCCTAGTTTTCATTTATGAGTCATTTATACCTAAGGATTCTCTGATATTTGGGGCTTTTATCAGGTAAAAGTTTTTGTTTGAAATAACATTCAGTTTTATAGATGAGTTACTTCAGACTTACCTGGTAAACAATTACATTTATTGTGATGATTTTTTTCTTAGGAATGAATGAGATCTTTTTCTGTTGAATGGAGCTAGTCACCCATGTTTTTATTTTTCTTAAGTTTGTATTAAGGAAAATACCTCATTTGAATCTTGAGTTTTGTGTGTGTGTGTGTGCCTGTGTGTATATACGCATGATGTATGTATCACAGACTTCCTTGACTTTCTAAACAGCATACTTACAGTAGTTATTTTGTTATTAAGCAACTATTTTTTATTGTACAATTTTTTTAATGTACAACTGGTGTTCATGTGGCACTTGCAGTTTTCTGAAATGCTTTCACGGCTGCCTTATTCTCATTTAATCTGTAAAGTACTCCAATGAGGTAGGTGGAATTAGCTCCATTCTATAAATATGGAAAGTAAAATAAAGCTCAGAGAAATTAAGAAATTTGCTCAAGGTCACACAACCAGTAAGTGGCATACGGTAGGACTTAATACCAAGTTGTCTGGTTCCTAAATACCATTTTCCCCCCTACCCTGTTCACCACTTGTCACCATGTTGGTAGTTCTCACCAGGAAAGATACCACCGTCTCAGGGGCATTCAGAAGATGTTGGTTGTTAGAATGACCTGGGAAATTTTTGCATTTAGAACTTTGGATGACCTAACATTAAGTTGTGTACAAGATGGTCTTGTGCCCTAGCCAATGTGGCTCAGTGGTTAGAGTGTTGCCTGCGGACTGAAGGGTCCCAGGTTCGATTCCAGCCAAGGGCGCCTATCTCGGTTGCAGGCTTGGTCTCCGGCCCCGGTTGGGGAGCGTATGTGAGACAACCAATTGATGTGTCTCTCTCACATCGATGTTTCTCTTTCTCCCTCACCCTCTGGAAAAAATATCCTTGGGTGAGGGTTAAAAAAAATAATTTCCTTTTAAAAGGATGGTCTTGCACAGTAAGGTTTGTTCACTCAGAATGTTAGTGTTCCTTCTATAGAGAAGCTTGTTGCACTTTGCTGTTGATGAGACCTTTAGCTATTCGCAGTGATCAGATGACCACAGTAAGACATGGTCCTGTCTTTGAAGACCATTTAAATGTGATAGAGCTTTATTTGTCAACATCACTTTTTGTCATTATATTTAGCTATGATAACTCTCATCTTCTAATCCCAGAGCTGAAACCAAATAACCAAACTAACAAAAACTGTTTAAGAAAAAGTCATGGAGCTAGTGACCCCTGTTTAAGTTTCTCAGAGGCACTGTGACTTCTAGGTCATGACTGGGTTCAGAGGATGGATGTAGCTGAGAGTTGGAGCTTAATCGGTTCTCAGGAAATTTTATTTTAAAGGAGGGTAGGGAAATGTTTGGATTTCTGTAATTCACCAACTGAAACAATGTCATAACTGACAGAAGTAATAACCTTTATATCTGTAACAGTACGCATCTCCTAACAAACCTGTGAACTAAATAGGTAAAATACTACTCAGCCATTTATTCCTTTTGAGAAATTAAAAGTTGGGGCTCCAGGAACCTGGATTGCTTCCCCAAGCCTGGGGAGCCAGTAGATTGCAAACTAGAGACTGTAATTTAAAGTGCGTGCTGTTCCCATTATACTCTCCTGCCGCCCCAAGTGTGTGACTGCACATGTGTTCTGGAGTTCAGTCCCAAGTTATAACTGTTGGTGTGGCTGCCTTCTTAGATAAATTCACCTGTGATTTCCTCTTCTGTGGTGTGCACCTGTAGTCTTTCTGTTCTGTTGTAGCTGAAATTAGGAAGAAGAAGAAGAAGAAGAAGAAAAGAAAGGCGACTGCTCTGCCCCCCGAGATAGCCGCTGTTCCAAAGCTGGCCAAGTACTGGGCCCAGAGGTACAGGCTCTTCTCCCGTTTTGATGATGGAATTAAACTGGACACAGGTAAAGTGTATGTAATTTTTCACTTTATTTTGAAATGATTTTAAACTTACAGAAAAGTTGCAGGAGAAGTAGGAAATTTTTCATACCTATTTTCTCTAGACTCAGATGTTTCTTAACATTTTGCCACATTTGCTTTATCATTCTGTGTGTGTGTGTGTGTGTGTGTGTGTGTGTGTGTTTCTGATCCCGTTGCCCCATTCCTTAATACTTTAGTGTGTATTTTCTAAGAACAAGGATATTTTTATGTAACAGTGGTAAAATTACAAATTCAACATTGTTGTAATATTGTAATTTACAGCCCATACTTCAGTTTTATCTGTCATTCTAACTAATCGTGTCCTTTATGGCATTTTTTTCCTTCCAGTATAGAATCATGTATTGCATTTAGTTTCATGTATCTTTGGTTTCCTTTAACCTAGAATAGTTCCTTAGCCTTTTTTTTATCTTTTAGGAATTTGACATTTTCCAAAGGATAGCAGCCAGTTAATGTCCACAGTGTTTCTCATTTTGGGTATATATATATATGTTTTTAAAACTTCAGACTCAGAGTTAATCTGTATTTGTAGCATCTTAGGATAGATAGCAAAAGGAATTGATAGATTATTAAACAGATCATCTGATGAAGAAATACCTAGTGCAGAAACATGTAATGTAATGAATTAATCCTGGAAACTTAATTATTTTTCAAGTTTTCCTGCTCTGACCTTGGACAGCTTACTTAACTCAGTTCTGAAAATTGGTGCTTATTTTCATATTGGAACTACTTAAATTAGGTGTTTATTAACTGTCAAAATCAGGAATTCTTTGTCACTGGAATCAGGAATTTCTGGGGTCGGTGAACCTCGTGTAATTATTTACAAAATGTTATGTATTTTTAAAAGTGCAAAGGACTTGGTTAGGAGAAAGAAGTAAGACTAGATAATGTTTTTAATTCTGTAAAAGCAGTTAATATTTTTTTTCTTCCAGCAATGAGGGGCCATTTAAAGTTTCAGTAAAGAAAAGAAATGGGAAAATTGGTCCATCGTTTTGTTCAGAGAAATATCTTTCTGAAAAATGTGAATTTCTTCTTTTGGGAAAGAAAGAGGGCAGTACCCGCTTTCCCCTGGAGCGGGCTTGGGACATGAGGCCTCATTTCTGAAAATGATGAGGGTTCTGCCGTTCCTACAGCTTTGCAGCCTTCTGCTGTCATCTCCTTGCTTTTCCTGGTCCTTTAGGAAAGTTTGAATTTTTCCAAAGTGTCCAGGACAACTCTGGTTCGTTGCTGCCCCATTAGGAATGAAATAATTGGGAACTTAGTGGAGCTTGGGGAGTTGGCCAATTAGAATGGCTAACTTTCTGTTTTCCGTAGTAGATAATCAGTAGTTAATACTTCAAACATAAAAATAGGAATTGCATTTAGTTATTGAAAGTAAATTGCAAAAGAATCAGGCCGGAATTAAAGTGGTTGCTTTCTGTGGAAAGTGGAAATGGTACTGCTCCTTTTTATAATAAGCTTTGTAAAACTTTTCTTTAAAACTAGGTTATTTATAGTTTTTTTTGAAAAGAGAAACAAAGGTGTGTGTTTTTAAGTGTATATTATATTGTAATGTTTGCTGTGTTTATGCTTGATTGGCTTCTTGAAATTGAACATTTTAACAGAAATACTCTTCCTTCACAGAGGGCTGGTTTTCAGTTACACCTGAGAAGATCGCTGAACACATTGCTGGCCGGGTCAGTCAGTCCTTCAAGTGCGACATTATAGTGGATGCATTTTGTGGAGTTGGAGGAAATACCATTCAATTTGCCTTAACTGGAAAGAGAGGTAATTAGCCATCAGTGGAAGAAAAATAAATTATATTTAGTTTATTCAGTAAATGTTTCCTTTTGCTTTATCTTATCTTGCTGACATTTAATATATAAATTAATCATTTAATGCCAGATATTTAAAATAATAGCTAGCATATATTAAGCACACACTTTGTATTATACACGTATAAGGGCTTAATATGTATTAATTTATTGTATCAGTAATCTTGTGAAGTGTATCTTACTATCTGCATTAAACAGAAATAAAGAGATGAAGTAATTACACAGACCCAGTTTGGTAGAGCCAAGATTATAACATTATATAAAAGTACTAAAACGGGGAGACTATTCTTTAGAAGAAAAGAAGAAGAGACAGGGAATCCCATCTTTGCCATTCACTACCGTTAAGACTTTGGACATCATTTAACCTTGATTTAAAGGAGATATTAACATGAGATAACCTCTGTGATAACCTTCAGCTTTAGCATTCTATGACACCAAAAGTCTTAAATATTAGATCATCTTGACTTTGGAATCACAAAAAAGAACCCCTCTGCTACTATATATCTGCCATGAATTGTGTTAAGTAGGTCGTATGTATGCTTTTTCCCAAGAAAAAGAGGCTTTTGAAAATTGACCAGTCTCCCCAAATTGACATAGCTGAGTCATGAAGCAAGGACTTCTACTTTAAAGTGCAGAATAATATGACATTTTAGGGACATCATGTAAGTCAGTCTCTGAATATGCTTCCCCCCCCCC